CCTCAATGCAAGAATACTTTCTTCTATTAAATTGGCATCCTATGATGCTCGCCTTCCTGACACAACCGCTAGAAACTACAAATCTTTATGGGAGTAGAAAGTCTCATCTTTTTCCTGTGGAGCAGCTTGTGGTTTCCAATAGCTGACCTTGCTGTTAACAGCCCGCCACATAGCCCGCTATGTGACCAGGGCTCCCGGCTGAGAGAGTTATGCGATCACCACCACTCTGGTTTTAGAAGTCTCCTTTACAGAGTAGATGGATGGAGAAGGCAAGCCCAGCCACTTTCTCCATGGCTTTAGTTCTGCCTTCTCAGATGCAGACCTTTTGTGGTTATTACACTACTCTCTCTTTCTCACTAGTTCGGGCGTGAGGGGTGGGGTGGGGGAATCAATTCTTAGCAAGTCTTAGCAAGCCCATGGAGTAAAACAGGAGGAAATACGAGTTAATTTGGTTCAGTCATAATCTTAGTAGACAACTAAGATTAAATACATAGTATATCTGAAATACTGTCAAAGCCAATAAAGCCTTCGTCTCTAAATAGTATTATGCGCAGTTGAAAATAAAGAGTTCTTTTCAGCAGAACTACCTACGATCTCACTTTTCTGCAGTCTGCTTCTACTGGCTTGTTAATTTAAGAGAAGAAATACCACAGCCTGCTATCTCCATGAACCATGGTTTACTTTGATCCTTCTGCTCTGTAGGTCATGGCAGAGAACGTCACCATTGTCACGGAGTTCCTGTTGTTAGGTTTCTCAAGCCTGGGTGAAATTCAGCTGGCCCTTTTTGTTGTATTCCTCTTTCTGTATCTCGTCATTCTGAGTGGCAATGTCACCATCATCACCATCATCCGCCGGGATAGAAGCCTTCACACACCAATGTACTTTTTCCTTGGCATTCTCTCCACCTCTGAGACTTTCTACACTTTTGTTATCCTACCCAAGATGCTCATCAACCTCTTTTCTGTGGCCCGGACCATATCCTTCACCTGCTGTGCTATTCAAATGTTTTTCTTCCTTGGTTTTGCCATTGCCAACTGCCTGCTCTTGGGTGTGATGGGTTATGATCGCTACGCTGCCATTTGTCAACCTCTGCATTACCCAATCCTTATGAGTTGGCAGGTGTGTGGAAAACTGGCAGCTGTCTGTGGCCTTGGGGGTTTCTTGGCCTCTCTTATGGTAGTAAATCTTGTCTTTAGCCTCCCTTTCTGCAGTGCCAACGAGATCAACCACTACTTCTGTGACATCTCACCTGTCATTCGTCTGGCTTGCACCAACACAGATGTTCATGAATTTGTCATTTTCATCTGTGGAGTTCTTGTCCTGGTGGTCCCATTTTTCTTCATTTGTGTCTCCTATTGCTGCATCCTGAGGACTATCCTAAAGATTCCTTCAGCTGAGGGGAGAAGGAAAGCCTTTTCCACGTGTTCCTCCCATCTCACTGTTGTCATTGTTCACTATGGATGCGCTTCCTTTATCTACCTAAGACCTACAGCAAACTATGTCTCCAACAAAGACAGGCTAGTCACCGTGGTATACACCATTGTCACTCCATTGCTAAACCCCATGGTCTATAGCCTCAGAAACAAAGATGTCCAGGTTGCAATCAGAAAAGTTTTAGGCAAGAAAGGCACTCTAAATCTATAATAAATAAAGTACTATTTGATTTTTAGATGGCATAATAAGAAATTTTCTTCTTTATCACATGTACATTATAACTATAGCCAATTTTTGAAATAGTGGAACTGTATAAGATAATATGCCATAAAATGTGTTGTGTTTTCACTTTCCTTTTGAATCCAATCTGTAGGCTAACACTTTTTGGACAGATTCGCAGGGATGTGCATTTTTAATTTCTGAATCCACTGTAATAACTAAAAGTCTAAATTTTACTTGAAGTTATAGTTCCTTTCCTCTGGTTTTGATCTTTTTAAAGTCAGAAAGCCTATACCGGGACCAAGGTATGAGGAGCAACGGGGCAGGAAGGGCTTGTTCTCTTGTCCATAATAGCTATAAGCTACCACTTCTCTCTTTCATAACTTCAGCGCCTGACTCATGAAGAAGTATAGACAGGGGGAAAGAAGAAATAGGAAGTGATAGAGATAATTTTTTGACTGCCACTGTTATGCTTTTGTAAGAGTAAGCCCCAGTCTTAGCTAATGTTGCAAACCCAGTCTTTCTAATGTGGGGAGATTCACGCCATGGAATCCAAACATTCACTATTGTAGGAACATTCCCTACATTTCTTATGACATGGGTAAGGCCAACTCTGGTTGAAAGCTTGTGAATTTGTGTCTTAATTCTGAGAATCCACCACTTATTTGGATGTTTTCTTTGCTGGAGATTTTCTATGGAAAAGTCTTCCTTTAAATGATGTCAAAATGACGTTCCCTTCCAATTGTCACATGCCATTCCCCAAAGGAAAATCCATACCGTAATCTACTTCATGAATTGCAGTGTAAATATCTTTCTACCTGCTCACATCAGGAAACTCACATCACTCGCCATGGAATCCAACATTTGTGATTCTCAGGTGGATACAGATATAGATTCATTCTGTTTCTTTATCTCCAAGGTACACATGTCAAAGTCTGAAAAAGGATTGCATCCTTTTCAGGGAGATAAAAACCACAAATTTCAATAATTTCATGTAACAAAATTTGTCCCCTATTATTTACTTCACACATTTGTTCTTCAAGAATAGTTGATGCATTCACTTGCCTCGTTTTTTTTGCTCGCATTCAACAAAAAAACTCAACTTTCTTTCTGACCCGATGTTACTTACACTCTAGTCTGACTGGTTTTCCTCTAGAATGAGGATTTGTGATGCTTTTTACATGTATACGTTGAATTCCTAAAGTTATTAACTACATCAAAAGTAAAATAGTTGGCCTGACCAGCTTCCATATTAAAACAGGCTACGAAGAAGGACATTGCGGTTCATTGCAGAATGGTTATAGTGCTGGGAGCTGAGCCATTCAGGGTGGAAGTCATTAAAAATACAACTGGGGATGAGTTGCCACCTCAAAGCAGAATTGACATTAATGACATGAATGGAATACAATTCTCAGGATCTTCCCATGTGTTATGACTCAAAATAAGAATTAAAACAATTGAAAACATCCAACAACAAACAAAACATGAGCTATAAAAATCAAAAGTAGTAAAAAATGGAACATGATTCAAAATTAAATGAAATACACACAGTTCAACATTTTAGACAGTGACCTGCAATAGGCTGTTGTTGATCCGTTTTAATCAGAAAATCATGTAGTTCTACCACACCAAGAGTGACAAACTGAAGAAGTAAAACATGGCATTCAAAATAAAAAAGAACATTTCAAGATTATCCTAGAATATCCTCTCAGAGATAGGAAAATATCCACACTCTTTCACAGATGTCTACTTAATAAAATTATTATTCAAATATACTAATGAAACAGATGAAGAAATTGAAGTTTTAACAACTTCTGCAGATTGAAACAGCAAATATTCAATCAAGATGCATTAGTAATTGCTCGTGATTGGCAAGTGAACGTTGGAAACAAAGAATGATGAAAAATATGGCCTTAGATAGAAATGATTTTATTGCATGTAGAATTTTGCAAAGCCAATGACTTATTCATTGGAAACAATTTTACTAAAAACAGAAATGGAAACTATGCACGTGGACTTTGAAGGATTTAAAACACAGAAATCAAATAGACTATACCTTTGGAAAGAAATGAGGGAGAGAGTCAATATCATTAGTCGGAACAAGGTCAGGGACTGGCTGAAGAACAGACCATCAATCACTTACATATGTCAATTCATGCTAAAGTTAAAGAAAATTAAAGCAAGTCCATAAGAGCCAGACTACAATCTTGAGTATGTCCCATATGAATTTGGGGACCATCTCAAGAATAGAATTTCTGCATTGAAGATGAATAACCAAATGTCAGATAGGTTGTGGCGCAACAATAGAACATCATACGTGAAGTAACCAAAAGGTCACTAAAAAGACCAGAACGAAAATATTAAAATGAATATAAGAAAATACTGACATTTTCTCTCCACCTTAGAGTAGCTAAAGCAAATGGAAGAAAAGATTAAGTAAGAGTTTGAAGAGGCAGTTTAAAAAGACAAAATAAAGCATTATTATGGAATGTGCAAAGACCAAGCGTCATTAAAACAAAAGCAAAGTACACACTCGACATTTTTTAAGCTGAAAGAATTGAAAAAAATTACACTTCATGTTGCAATATTAAAAATCTCTGTGAGCAAAATAGTATATTAGGTAGGACACATCAGAGTAAAATAGAAGGAAGGCACAAAATCACTGTACCCAAAAGAATGGTCAATGCTCAAGCATTTCCAGGGATACATATGATGAAAAATGAAGAAGTCCAAGAAGCACTAAAGACATTGGTACTAATCAATGCTCCAGATGTTTCAACAAATGTTCACATGTTTCAACAAATGGATGCAACGCTGGTACGCTCACTCATCTGTGCAAAGAATTTGGAAGACAGATACTTGCTCAACCAACTGCAAGAGATCCATTTTTATGCCCACTACAAAGACAGGTGATGAGTGTGAAAATTATCAATCAATATTAATATTATACATAAGTAAAATTTTGCAAAAAATCTCAGCCAAACTCACTGCCCTCTTGTCAGTTCCTACAGGTAGTGCCTTTATGGGACAGAGTAGGATTACTCCCATAGTTTTGCAAGCCGGTATATCTTTACTGGAGCAGAGTGGCTCATTTCCTCCGCAAGGAGAATCTGGTGGTTTCTAATTGCTAACCGTGTGGTGGTCAGTCCACCATGTAACCTGATCGCCACAAGCGCTCCTCAAATTTTGCTAATTACACTTTTAAAATGGTTGCAGCAGTACAGCAACAGGAAACACCCAGAAATTCAAGGTGCATTGAGAAAAGGACATAAAACTAAGGAGATCATTGCTGTATATAGATCTTGGCTGGAAGTAGATAATACCTGAAAGATGTTTACTTGTGTTTAATTTACTATGCAAAAGCATTCAACTATGGATCATAACAAATTATGGGTAGCATTGCACAGAAGGGGAATTGTAGAATATTTAATTGTGCTCATTAAGAATCCGAACATAGACAAAAAACAAAACAAAACCACACTGACATCGAATCAATATTTTTAAATGAAAAGATCATTTTATTGCGAGCTCTTATAACAATCCAAGCATCAATATTATCAAGCATATTTGTACTTATGTTGCCATCATTATTTTCTAGACATTTATTTTTTATTGAGCCCTTGGTATCAGCTTCTCTTTTCCCCGCCCCCGTGACTCCTTGACAAATTATAAATTATTATTTTCATATCTTATCCTGACCACTATCTTCCTTCTCCCATGTTTTCTGTTGTTCGTCCCCCTGGAGGGTGTGTGTGTGGTTATGTGCCAATCATTGTGATCAGTTTCCCCCTTCTTCCTCTCCACTCTTCACCTTCCCTCTACCTTTCTGGTATCGATTTTAACTAATAGTGATCTTGGGGGGCAGAGAATAGAAATGCCCTATGGGTTTCCAAGACTAACTATTAACAGAAATAGAAAGCCTCATCATCCTCTGGTGGAATATAGATCAAGAGGCAGTTAAATAGAACAAAAGAGTACTGTATGTCTTAAAATCGAAAAAGGAGTATATCATGGCATATACTTTCCCCATACTTATTCGATATGTATGCTGAGCAAATAATCCAAAAGCACTGGACTATATGAGGAAGAACACAGAATCAGGGTTGGAGGAAGTTTCATTAATAATCTGTGTAGTAACAAAATACATGCATCAGATTTGGAATATGCAGTTCTTTTAGAAGACTTGTAAAGAACTTTATTTGTGTTGTTGTCCCATTTCTCGCTCCCCAAAGGCTATCTGTAACACATAAACAAACTATCATATAATGCATGGGTATGGTTGCTTCCTATTCTGTTTCATTTATTTAAGGGCTTGTCAATATTAATCTCAGATATGGCTGCTGGAAATATGTGGAACTCATAGATATATAATCATGTCTTTTACTTAAGGTTAGACCAAACTGAGATGAAATATTTGAATTATATTCTAAAGGGAACATACTTTTCTTATATTTAAGTTTACAGTTTCACTCTGATGCTAGAGATTAAAATATTGCGAATTGGTATGTTTTCTTTAAAGACCACCTGAAAAGGAATTGATTTGCATATGAAAGCTAGAGAAATTATGGCATTGATTTGAGTTATATTTCTACTGACCCCATCCTTCTAATATATTTAAACTGTATTGTCTATTAAATATAATAGAAATATTGAAATTTTGTTTGTACATTCAAGTTGCTTAATAGATATTCTTTTGATAATTTGCACACAAAAAATAATAATCTGTGATATGCAGATGACACAAATTTGCTTGCTGAAAGTGAAGAGAATTTGAGAATCAAAGACTACCTATTTTAGTACAAGTTAAACCTCAAAATAACCCCCTCCAAAAATAATTCACAGCTGGATCAATAAAAATATGATCACAAATGAGGGAAGTATAGAAGTTGCCAATTATTTAATTTTATTTGTATCCATATTCAATGTTCATGGAAGTAGCAGTCAGGAAATCAAATCTGCTGCACGAGTTCTCTTTAAAGTGTTAAAAAGCA